AAAACAAACAAGTCTTATTATTCCTGTCTTTATGAAAAAGATCAGTGTACATAATGAGAAGCTAGAGCAGATTTGAGCATTTTTACTCTAGCTCTAGTAAAATAAACATTTTTTTAAAAAACAAATTTAAAATGATGCCTTTATTTGAACAGTCACTGCAGAGAACAACAGGAAATGTAAGAGAACAGTATGACATGGATGTACATTATGAACCTTGTGTATTTTCTATAGTCTTCTATAGCAAGACTAACATCACTAGTATTGGATTGGGTTTATCTGTCAGATAAATATAGAAAAATCTAGGAAAGCAGAAACAAAATAAATCTAAACAAACAAAACTGCCCCCTAAACCTCTCCCACAAGACAAGAATGGTCCCTGGATGTTGGACGTTACTTGTAAAGGGTTACTGCCCATCTCTGGTCATTACCCACATGTTGAGTCCATGCATGTATATGGGTTCCACAGATCATTTTCTCTTCCTGTTTTATTTTGATAATATTTTTGCCTCTGGTGGGTTTTTTTTATTTGATTTTGCCCTCCTCGTCCCTTCGTCCTTGATTAGTTTCAGCTGTGTTCCCCACCTGTATGTATCCATTTCCTGAGTCTCCCCCTGTCCTGTGTTTTATTTTCCACATTGTTGTTCATTTCCTTGCTCTGTTTCCCTGACTTTTCTGAGTATGTTTGTAGTCTTTGGACTGGTACCCTGTCACCATTCAGATTTTGGGCTTTCTTTTTGGTTTTCTGGAACCAGAAGCGTTAAAGCTTGTTTAAAGTTTATCCCTGTCTCAAGAATCCTGCACTTCTGCCCATAAATGTGTCCTCCACACAACAGTTCATTAAACACTGATGCACTTATGGTTCAAACTCTCTCCAAGGTGAAAATCCTTTGCTTTTTACACTGGACAATAAAAACGTCTTACTTCCTACAGGGACTCTTTTCACTTTCTAGACCAAATAGTTTATGTTCTAAAGTGTTTAGTCAAAGGCGGGGACCTACCAACATTCATGAATATGGATTTAAAATAATAATAATAACAATCAATAAACAAATTAAAAGTGCTTCTTTAAACTTAGTGAGATACAGTGGATAGCTGTAGAAAGTAACAAACGTACAGGTGGAAATTTCCTTAGTGTCGTTTTTTTACAGCGCACACAACCACAGCTTTATGTGCTGCTTGTAACTTTTTAATGTGGGGCATTCAATCATTTGGATCACAGAAATAGTGTCCGCACAGTTTTGGAGCAAAATGAGTTGTGTATTGCGGATAACTTTCACCTCTTCTCTCTGTGTGTCTAAGTGTTAAAACTCATCATATCAATTTCTTCCTCTGCTCTCCTTTCTCTTCCTTTACCTGTTTTTGTTCCCTCTGTGTACAGAGAGAGAAAAAACACACAAACATGCTGAGTGTATGTTTGTGTGTGTGCTTCCATCAGTGCCAGATCCCGCTGAGTATTCCTGCTTTCACATGAGGCGTCTTCATATGGTAATCCCTTTATAAAGGACCCACAAACATGCACACACAGACACACACTCCTCTTATTCACTTGTCATCCTGTCTAAATGGAGAGGGAGACTTCCTCTGGTCAGGCAGTCCTCTGCATCTGTTCCCTCTCTGAAAATTGTCATGTTCTCCGGGAGGAAGGCGAGAAACAACAGAGAAGACAAAAGGCAGAGAGAATGATGGACAGCTACTCCATGACATTTGAGAACTGAGATAGAGACAGTTAGTGGGCTGCTGTTGGCTTGTTTTCAGCAGAAATCCACAGAAATTCCAGGCAAAATAATGTTTATAGAAACTTTTCTTGGAGTTCTATTCATTTGTCAAACAAACATCTACTAGTCTTTAAAAAAATAAATAAAGCAAAATCTAAATCCGACTGGTTGAATTAAAAGAGCTCCTGAAATGATCGGCACTCAAAGAAGAACGTGCATGTAACGACAAAAGGACTGATTATCATCATTTCGTTTATCTCGGCTAATGTTGTTTTGCAATGTGAATTAGTCATTTCCTGGGCCTGCTGAGGCTAAATCAATGTCATTATTTATTCAGCGGGGGCATTTGCATCAGTATTTTTTTCTTTTTCAAAATGCTCTTTCCTCTCAAGTGAGCACAAAATTGTCTTCTGTTGGAGGAAAGCCATCAGAATCTGCTATTTTCACTAAGTCAGAGTAATTAGATACAACATAATTTACATAAAAATGCTCAGACGTAATCCCAGTCATCGAGGTAAATATGAAATGCCTTTGGAAGAAAATCTTTTGGGTGGGATAAATAATACGGTGTCTCCAGGGAATAGGTATGACTGCATAAACAACTACAGACCTTGTTCTAATGGTGTACTCATAAAATCTACTTTTTTAAAGGGATTACACTCTAAAAAAAAAGTCACTTGTGTTGCACTGATTAAAGAGACTGTTTAAAATAAGATTATCCTTGTTTTTTTAAAATCATATCAAAAATAATGACAAAAGTCCACAATAACCTTATCACAGGAGACCATAGAAATTACTTAAAGGTTGTTAAAATCTGCAGTTTTACTCCCACTTTGCACTCTCCACTGGTTTTAAAAAAAACAAAACAATCGGTGCAAGAAAAGCAGTGGAGAGTGGGAGGGAGATAGGGAATAGGAAAGGGGGCTATCATCACATTTTTAAACACTCTCCGCAGCAGTGCTGACAGATCGAGAGAAAAATTTCAGCCCAGGAGCCTCTGGAAAACCACCCAACAGGAGCCACAGCTTCAAAAACACCAAAAATACAATACAGCTTTCATATGTTTTTGGCTCTCTACGGCAGCTTACCACCACATTTCCTCCTCTCTCTGTCCCAATCTGCTCTCCAGAGTTTCAAGGCAGCAAACCTCAACATTTATGTGAAAAACTACCACCTAAAAGTTCTGAACAGAGTTTATCACTGTATGGGTACAGCAAATATGTTAAGCCAAATATTGCGTTAGCATGGCATTAGCAGCTGCAATCCCAGCAGATCAGTTAATCTTATAGTCCGACCACATCGTTTGATGACTCAGTTAATAATTTTCTGTTATACTGAAGCTGCTTTAGCATGCACACAGATGATATACGTGTGAAAGCCACTTTGCAACCCACGCTCACCCTGAAGCAGATACTTATTGCTAAGTTTGTTATAAATGGGATCATAATTTAGAAAATGGGTAATGTTAAAATAAGACAAAGTCATTTATTTGGAAAAATAAACTCAACAGGAAATGGTTTACTGAGGTCATAAATCAAGCAGGAAGTAGTCCTACTTTGACAGAATGTGATTAAGTATAGTAATTAGGACATTTTTATAGATAACCTTCAATGGTCACTCGCTGCTCTATTGTATGATTTACATTTTAGTCTTTTTTAATGTAATCATCAGGCAACATAATATCATCATGCTATAATCACATATCATAACACAGAGCTCCCTTGGTTCACCTTTCACGGCCTCGCTGTTTCGCGGATTTTTTAATGCAATTTTGCTCGTTTTATTTTTTACAGCGCACTGTGTTCTGCGTGCTGATTGGCTGTAAACCACTGTCAATCAATCTCGTGCCGCGTCTCCTGTACAGTCAGAATGTGTTCAGCTTGTCAAATCTACATAAATCTTCAATCACTAGCAGTGTGACTCTGAAGTGCTGCATGTTTGTAAGTTTTCTCCCCAACAAACACAACAATGTCGACGAAACTTTTGCATCGTCACAGGCAACCCGGGTGCCTTTGGTTTCATTATAGGTTAGGGTAGAACTTTGAGAGTGTTTAAACATGATAGAAAAGTGTGAAAATGTTCATGCCTGTCTGAGAAAAGTGTATAAAGTGTGTAGTTTATTTGTTTATTTGTTTATTTATAAGGAACCCCATTAGCTTCCACAACAGTGGTTGCTAGTCTTCCTGGGGCCCAAACCATCAAATACCATCAAAAAAAATGTTACACAATGAGTTGGATGCAAAATATCCACATAATTTGGCTCTTACATCCACAATAAGGTTTTACAATTCTGAAAATATAAGCATGTAAATATTAAAAAATATAAAAAACACTCAAACAGCTAACTAGCTAACTGGTCACTCCCAACTGTTTTTTCCTTTTTTCTTTCTTTCTTTCTTTTTTTTTCTTTTCCTTTTCTCTTTTTTCTTTCTCTTTCATTTTGCTTTGTTTTTCCCTTGTAAATTATGTTGATTAATGCCTGTAATCACCTTCATGAATTAATATCTTAGAAATAAAGAATTAAAAAAACAACAACACTCAAACAAAATACACAATTTCAGTGAGTGAGGAGTTTTACAGCCTTAAAACATCTATAATAATTGTAAAAAATAAAGTTGGCTATTTCGCAGATTTCACCTATCGCGGGTTATTTTTAGAATGTAACCACCACGATAAACGTGGGACCACTGTATAAAATTTTTGTGGTGATAAATTAGTTATGTAATTGTGGTGAAATTAGAATGATACAATAAGTAATTAGATACAACATTTAATGACCAACAAGTGTTGGTCATTATATCTCATCGTTAGGCTATAATATGTTATCTAGATTAGAACCTTCAAGGCCCTAATGCTGGGCATACACTGTGCGATTTTTGGCCCATTTTGAGCCGATTCTTCAGTCGTGCGACTGTTTTGGTGATCGGCCCAAGTTTCGCCTTCATCGTGTGTCGTGCATCGTGTAGTATACATAGGGTAACGAGAAGCAATTAACACCTCATGACCAGCTCCCGATCATCAATCGTTTGGTCGTAAGAAAATCCAACCTGTTTGAAATCTTGTTGGCCGTCGTGATGGTGTCACCGCAGGCTCTCACACCACGCACGCGCAAACACAGAAATGAAAGTGAAAAACGGAGCAGTATGGCAGTTTTTGTGAACATCATACCTGCTTGACATCAGCATGTTAGCCATAATGCAAAAATACTTTGTCTGTTTTGACACCTACGTTTTGAATCCAGCTACGTAAAGTTATTTTCAGCGTAGAGTTGCAAAAAACACTAACCTTGTGGAAGCTGCCATGGAAAACTTTTTTGATTGCTGCCTCTTCAAAGGTAGCGGTCTGGAAGTCTCCTTTGTAGTCATGGTTAAAGAACGTCAATGTCTTTCCAGAGTCTGTGGGAGGAAAGTGGTGGTAGTGAGGTTGGGAGGATAGATAATTGTCCCATTCAGTGCAAATGTGAATTGAGCACATGACTAAGTATTACAAACATGCATCCCCTAAAAAAAGAAATTCAATCAGAAACAAACAAAATCAAACTGCATATTTCAAGTGTCTGGACTAACAGCTTTTTGAATAACACATACACTGTTGTATTCACACTAAAGACTCAAGATGTAAGCAAATAAATGTCACTCACTCAAAAGTAACTCAAGCCCAAACTAAAATGCAATTTTGTTGCCTTCTTGCTGTATCGGGCTCAATTGGGAAAGCAGAGAAAACTAAATGATTTTTTAACATCCTCCAGCTACACCTTGGATCTCACATGGGATCTCATACACTGATATGGAAATGGCAGCAGATCAAGTCTTATCCAAGTCAGTGATGTCCAAAACACTTCTAAAAGTTCACCCTAGGGGTGAGCTTACCGAGTGTGCACTGTTTTCTGTGATATGGCCTATCACAGTATGACACAAACACTTACTATACAGTCACTGCACCATGGTAAGTCTTCAGCCACCATTATCATCATCATCCCATCTGTTTTAACTAAAACTGACTTTATATCGTACTCAAGCTGTGGCTGATCCACAGCTGTAAATTTAAGGCCATGACCCCTTTTCATACATATAATCAGTACCATTCAGAAAGAGTTAAATAATACAGGTATTTATGAAAAAAAGCAAGAACAGTCACTGTAAAAAGAAAGTATATAGTCTGTCAGGTTTTATGTATCAGGACAAAATGACAAATCTGGTCCTTATCAGCTCTTTAAATCAGATGACTGCAACCTCAGATAAACAGAAATATGACATTCTTGTATATGTCATTATTTATTTAGCAAAAAATAAGGCAAAAAGCAGGAAGAGTGTGTGACAGACTAAGTACATCCAATGATTCAATAGCTTGTAGAGCCACTTTTAGCAGCAATAACTTGAATGAATCATTTTCTGTATGACTTTTTCATCCCTCACATCATTGTAGAAGAATTTGTCACACACTTCTTTATAACACTGGTTCAGTTCACTGGTTTTTGTGAGTAATTATTTATGCACAGCTCCCTCCAGGTTCAGGTTCTGCCGCAGCATTTCAATCGGGACTTGTGACCAGGCCATTGCAACACTTTGATTCTGTTCTTTTTCAGAGTAATGCTGTGCTTGAGATCAATGTCCTGTTGCATAACCCAGTTTTGGCCAACCTTTAGCTGGTAGGTGGTTTTTCCCAAATGTGGCATTGTGTATTAGGACCAAATATCTCCATTTTGGTCTCATCTGTCCGAAGGACATTGCTCTGGAAGCTTTGTGGTTTGTTCAGATGCAACTTTGCAAACCTAAGCCCTGTTGGCATGTTCCTTTTAGAGAGAACAGGCTTTCTCCTGGCAGCCATTTAACATTTACCATGCTGACTGAGGCTTATAGAGTCTAAGATGAAGCTCTTGGGTATTTTTACAGTTTGGGATCAATGCTAAACCTGACATTATGGTGAATTTGCAGGGCCACTGTCAGAAGGTCTTCCACACAATGATGGAAATTGACTCATAACCTTTCCCACATTGATCGGGAGCATTAATTGCTTCTCTGAGATCATTGCTGGCATCTTTCCTCTTTGTCATTGTGTAAACACACACCTGAATGCTCCAAACCAAAACCTCTGCTTTTATAGAAGTGCTCACACTGGTTAATCAGGTGTACTTAGTTTTGCACACCTATACTCTTTGACCTCATTTTTGTTAAATAAATAGTTTTGTAGTTCACCTCAAGTTGTATTTACATAATTTGAAGACCTGCTAAGGAAAAGATCATTTTTATGTCCTGACACATACAACCTTAGATTTGAAAAAGGCCATGCTTTATTTTAACCATGTCTGTATCTTTGATTTTTATTAATCCTCGAGGTTAAATAGAAAATACTTTTTATTGTGTTTTTGTTGTTTCCACAAAGCAAAACAAGCTAAAATATGACATTTTGAAAGTGTAAAAATGCATTTTGTTCCTGAAATCATTGAGACCTTCCCAGAAACATGGATGCGTATGTTTCAGGGCATATATAGGCTTGTATACAGTGTGCAGCATCATTGGTTAACAAAGTTAACCTTGACAGAGGTGCACCAGTAGCCTTTGATTCATTTAAAATCAAATGTGGACTGGTCGGACCACAGAACAGACTTCCATCTCTAAAAAATCTTTAATAAGTTTGGATCATGGTGGTGTTTCTTGTTTAGATGATTGTTTCTTTACATGACAGATTTTTCTCCAGTTCTCCAGATTTCAGACGTATTAATATATTGTAATAACTACTGCAGTAGATAATACTCCAATCTCTGAATTCTAATGTTTACTTTTACAAGACATTATTCTTCAATTTGTGAAGTAATATGCCACATTATTCAAAACAGTAATGAATCCCCATCTTCACTTGTAAAGCATCATTTTCTTTTCTGTCAGTGACTTCTGAAATGCACCATTTTTCCCCGCGTACACATCCTTTCCAGTCTTTTGATGCCTCTGACTCAAATATTTTGAAACACATTAATAGCATCTATTTGAAAATAAGCACATATAGCATGCATACAATTAACCATGGGTTTAAATGATCATTGCATTCCTCTTCTTTCTTTTCTCTTTTTCTTCTCACAACGCGTCCCAACTTCTTAAAGCTGCATAAACCATAGTGGATTAAAACTGTAGTTAATGTAGCCTCCCAGCTGGAATCATTAATATCTTTGCAGCCCGACTTCTAAGTTTGGCTTCATTATGCACTTTCTCTGTTTACTTGGAGGTGCTGGGAAAGCTGTAGCAAACATCTGCTATTTAAGTCTATACTTGTCAAACT